CTAACACTTGATTCTAAATTAACAATTCTGTTCATAAAGTTCCAAATAACTGGGCCTCTATATTGAATTGTCCCTTTTCCAACTTCATGTTTTACTCCTGGGATTTAAACTCCATTTGATCTGTGGGTTTGCCATGTCATTCGCTCTGCATTTATGTTATTGTCCTTTAAGTTGGTCTACAAAACTGTTTACTTGTTTCTGTTTCTTACTCGTTTTTTCCCCCACTCCACTTCAATCTTAATTTTTCCTTCTCCAAATGAATGGTGAGAAATTAGGAAAAATGATGCTTTTTCCCATCCAACAACGTACCCATTATTTCAAGACCCCCTTTTTATGACCACTATTCAATTTCAAGCCCCCAACCCACCCACCCACCCCCTCCCCCTTCATTTTGTCACCTGTACTTCCCCTTCGCAAGATAATGGATCGTCCCTCGCTTTAATTTAATTTCCAAAGACAGGTTTCAGTTTTAYCACAGCTTGGATTTACAGTCAATTCAAAAAACGTTGACGTCGAACGGCTCAAGCCTACGCGACTGGACCGAAAGGAATATGGGTAAAAATCACTGAAGCGGTTAAATATTCGTTCTGAATTAATTGTTCCCGCTAGTGAATAAGATAATAATGGCGAGAAACAATCCATTAAATGCATGTCTTTGGGTTTAGGGAAAGAAAAACAAAGTAGTTATGATTCAGTTCACAATTCCGAAAATATGAAGGCATTAAAAAAAGTCTCCTTCAACACTTCCCGCTCGCCTACGAAGGTTCGTGCAGTAAACCAGGCATAACTAGTCACATAAAATTATGGAGTCAACTCGGCTTCAATGATTACTACCCAGAGCTCCTTTCGGTCCAGTCGCGTAGGCTTGAGTTGGTCGACGACAACATTTTTTGAATTGACTGTATGCGACCGAACACGAGGGTGCTGAATGGACTTTCATTCTTGTCCCGTGTGAATCCCGGGGGTTTCCCGTCGACTCACCAAGAATGTTGCATACTTTGACATCACCATAGAAACCACTCTTGCAAGTACAATTGTGTCCTCCAGGAAAGTTAGTACAAGTTTCATGCTCGCTGCATCCATGGACACCTGAGGTACACTCATCAATGTCTGGTAACAAAAAAAATATTTCAACATTTGAAAAATTATGTAGATCAATTAAATTAATTATTTTCTCCTTTCACGAATCACTGGGCATTATGCACGAAGCCTCACATTGAATCCTTTGTGCATAGTAAGAGAAGCATATCTCGGAAGTGGGCTATTGTTCCTGCTTACTATCATGGCTACCATCAAGTGGTGGCGCAAAGCCCCTGTACTATAGGAATTTCGAAATATACATTCAATTTACATTTCATGTTTTGAACTTCAAGATACCTTACCATCACACGTATAGTCGTTGCCTTGGAAACCATTCTTGCAAACACATTGGTGACCTCCGATGGTATTGGAACACGTTGCATTCACGTGACACACATGGGTACCCAGTACACATTCATCGATGTCTGTACAAAGATGCAAAAGCAAAGATGGTTATTAGAAAGTGATTTCGTTTAACTCGTGAAAGAAAAATGAGTATTTACTTAGTACTAGTTGATGAAAAAGAAAAAAAAGAAAAGAAAACAATGGGTTTAGAGGCTCATCGCCAACTATTCCGGCCATGCGCCGCTCGCCAAGTCAGCGGATATCATGTATAAAATAAAAACCACAGGAAGCCCAAGCTCTCTCAGGCCCGGACTTAGAGAAACAAAACCTTTTGCTACGGTATTCCTGCGCTTTAATATGTGCTCCTATTACAAACGATG